GCCACGCAGGCCCCCCCCGGGCTCCCCGCCTGCCCCGGGGCCCTGCCGTACAAACCTCGATCTCCACTCTGTTGTGCAGCTGACACAGCGTGAGCCACAGGGTCTGCAGCCTGGGAGCGACACACGAACAACACTGTTAGCTGTCACGCTCCACTTCTGGGGAATCGTGTCTGACCCTGCAGCAGAGCCTCGACCCCAGCTCCCTCCTGGAGGGCACTGCTGAGTACTGAGCGCTCCCTCGGAGGGCTGCACCGTCAGCCGACCACAGACGCTGGAGTGCGTCGGGTGATGCACGGCCACTTCACTCTCCTTGCACGCCCGCAGGACTGCCCTGCAGCCCAGACCTCCCTCCAGGTCGGGAACCTGTCTACAGGCGCCTGTTCCTCTGGCGCTAAGCCCTGCCCTCACGTTGGCTCCTGGCCTCAGACCAGCGCTGCTGCTCCCTGGCTCGCAGGAGTCGAAGTGGAGCCCTCTGCCCCCTCCACCCCGCCTGCTCCCCAGAAGGCGGTGCCGTCCCAGCTCTTGCAGAGAAGCCGATTCTACCCGCCACCTGGGGTCAAGCCCAGGACACCAGGACCCATCTCCTCCAAGGTCCCCTGTTACTAGTGTCTCCGGCCAGCCCTGTGTGCCTGGCCTCAGCAGGGCCAATGCCCGGCCCCATACTCCCCAGCGAGCCCTGCCGAAGACCCCGGGTGGCTCTGGCTGCTGCGTGTCCAGCGTGCTCCTTCCCGGACCTCCGTTCCCACCCTCCCTTAGGTGTGAGCTTGCTCGGCAGCCCTGCCCCTGCCCTGCCCACCCCCGTGCTTCTCCCCAGGTGGCTGGTGTCTCACCCCCGCAGGTGTGTCTCACTGCATGACTGACCCTCAGCCTGTCCTGGGAACAGGGACGCCAGCCTCGAGGGCTGGCCCTCACCTGAGCGGTGAACTGCCGAGGGGTCACCTGGGCTCCCTGAACCTAGGTCAGCCTCGAGGCCACTGAGCTGATGTGGGGGCGGGCACGGAAGCTCCTCGGCACATCCCTGCTGATGAGCAAGGCGAGGATTCCCAGGACCAGCAGGCAGAGCGAGCCACGCTGGTTTCCAGGGGGCCGGACCCAGCACCATCCAGCAGCAGCGGGCCACCCGCTCAGTCCTGCCGTGCCCACACAGAACACAGGCCAGACAGAAGACGCAGCGTCTCACTTACGCTCCGGGTCCTTGCCATGTCCACGTGATGGTGTCCTAGGACGAGAAAGGAGCAGGGCGTGTCACAAGGGGCTGGTGCCGTCACCACGGGTGCTGGGGGGTACTCGTTCCCCAGTGCCCTCCCCGGGGGACTTCACCAACCCACGCACACCCAGGGTGTTTCAGAGGAACCCCCTCCTTGGCAGCTGCACTGGCCACCTGACCAAGGACCACCTCCCCGGGCTCCCTCTCTGCACTCTTCAGGATGACCCGCCTGCACCCCCGGGTGCCCCGAGGTGAAGACGGCAGAACCCTGGTGGGACGTGGCAGAGCAGGCCTGTGGCCTCCTGAGACCCTCCACCCGGCCCGACTGCCCTTCGTGAGCAGCTGTAGGGCTGTCTCTGCAGCCGGGGCGGGAGAGCCGCAGGGACAAGCACACGCAGGCTCTCAGACGTCGCCGAGGGAACCAAGTGTCCATTTCCATGGCTGCCAGCCCAGCTCGCTGCTGTTGCTGTGGATGGCTCTGAGCACTCGCGTGCTGTCCACAGCCCAGTCCTCCTGACCTGGGCAGGCCAGAACCTGGTGTCCACAGACGTCACCAGGCTGAGTGCTCAGAGGCCAGCGTGTGTTATATGATGC